TTAACTGAGGCCTAGTTCGTTTACGACGATCAATATAAAACGAACATCCCTCTCTGAGATCCTGTTCAATACATAAATGTACTAGTGCACTAATCGGTCAAGACAAACCGTACGGTTGACACTACAACCGTTCTGATGGGTTGTTCAATTCCATCTAGTTTGTGAACGAATGATTCTTGTTTCGCAAGTAACTAATATAGTGATCTTCGGTACGCCCGATGACGACCCACTTATCTACATGCAAAACAACAGAACGTGGAACTTATTTAACCAAACATAATTCTCATTCATCAAGAAATAACAAGTGTAATATCCACTAAAGCAAAGCTTAAGTATATAACACCAACAGGCCGAGGGTCGACGAACCAAAGTTCAGAAAAGTTCAGAAAAGAAAAGAAAAGTTTCAGTTTCAGCTCTTATATATTTTAGTCTTGATATGTTATTATTGATGTTGTCTTATTCAATACTGGTCTTACAATGATGTGGGTTCTACATCATTTATAACATCTGTACCACGACTGAGGTATGTTTGAGACAATTAGTTCTCCCAGGTGAGAAGCCGACCTAAGGGCCTTCCTATTCCACCTGGTATCCGGCTGGAGCTTCGGCCTCAGTGTCTGGATGGTGTGCACACGAGCGGCCGAGGGTCGAGGGTCCATGGACCAAAGTTTAGAAAAGAAAATAAAAGTTTACAGTACATTACAACTTATATTTTTGTATGCTGCTTTTAAGTTTATGTTTACAATTAAGATTATTACAGTTCTAGTTTTTCCCACGAGCATACAGATGTGCTCACACTTCCTCAGTTTTCTTATTTCAGGTGACGTAGCACAGCGTGACAAGTAGTGGTAATGAGCCGGGGACATTTTACTCACCATTTTATGTCCCATTATTCATGAACCAGTTTATGTATTAAGTTGTATGATTGTATTCTATACTTTATGCTTCCGCTAAGTTGTTTGTGCGAGACAGACGGACTGCATGTATAATTCCATTATCGCCATAGTGGCTCGATTTGGTTGCATTTTTTAATATGCCTGAGATAAGAGATAAGTATTTTCGAAATTAAGCTCGCACGACATTTCAAAAATAAAAGCGAAAAATTTACTCTGATTTTAAAAGTCAAAGCTAGTTAAGGCGGGGTGTTACAAAGAGCATCTGGTTTTCAAGTTGAAGAGGTCTATTTATGGGCTGAAGCAGGCTTCAAGGTCTTGGAACATCCGTTTTGACGAGGTTGTTCAATCGTATGGATTTACCCAATGTTCGGATGAGCACTATGTGTACAAGAAAAGTGATGGAAACATGGTGGTGTTTCTTGTGCTGTACGTGGATGACATACTTCTCATTGGAAACAGTGTGAAGATGTGATCAGATGTAAAGGTATGGTTATCCAAGCAGTTTGATATGAAGGATTTGGGAGAAGTAAGACATATTCTCGGAATCAAGGTCATTCGGGACCGAGAGAAGAGAAAGTTATGCCTATCCCAATCCACATACATAGATACTGTCCTAAAGCGTTTCAATATACATGATTGAAAGAAAGGGGATTTACCCTTTCGGCATGGAATACCTCTATCTAAGAAGATGTCCCCGAAGACACCTCAAGAGGTAGAGGACATGAAGGCAGTTCCTTATACATCAGTAGTAGGAAGCCTCATATATGCGATGTTGTGCACACGACCTGATATTTGTTATGTCGTGGGTATGTATCAGAGTAATCCAGGACCGTAACAGTGGTATGTGGTAAAGCATATACTCAAGTACCTACGCAGGATTAAGGAGTACATTTTGATTTACCAGGCAGATGAATTGCTTCCGTTGGGTTACACCGATTCTGACTTTCAGGCAAACCGAGACTAAAGCAAGTCGACCTCAGGGTTTGTGTTTACTTTAGGAGGAGGAGCCATAGTATGGAGGAGTGTCAAGCAGAAATGCGTGGCGGACTCAACCATGGAGGCTGAGTATGTAGCAACCTTAGAGGCAGCGAAAGAAGTTATCTGGCTCAGGAATTTTCTCCTTGACCTTGATGTGGTACCGAGTTTTCCCATTTCGATCACAGTGTTATGTGATAACAGTGGAGCAGCAGCAAATTCGAAGGAGCCACAGACTCATAAAGAGAGTAAACACATAGAGCAAGTACCACCTGATACAAGAAATCGTTGGACGAGGAGAAGTCGTTGTTGCGAAGATACAGTCAGAGGACAACCTAGCAGATCCTTTTACGAAGAGCCTACCAGCAAAAGTCATTACGAGACACGTAGAAGGAATGGGAGTCAGACATTAGAGCCACATAGTAGACTAGTCCTTAAGGATTAGATTGAAAGAAATTGTGGTTAGTTTGTTTAGCCATGAGCTTATAAAGCATAAGTGGGAGATTGTTAGAGATATGCTGTAAAAGCTATGTTTTGCAGATTCTTTCGATTTCATTTTGATCTGGCCATCATGTTTCAGTCAATGTACATATGTTTGCAGTTTATTTAATTATGCAAATCATACTCCATGTCTTATATTGAGATAGTGTGGTTCGAAGTGTTTCGAACAGAAAGATCACCTATCAGTTCCTTATAAGACTAAACAATCCATTCACAGTCTAGACAGACAGTGAGACCCCTCTTGGAAAAACACTATAGTGTATTCTTGATTCAGTTGGTCTTTGACTGAAGAATTACACTAGCACTTATAATAAGTGTTGAACACGACCGCGGAAGGATAAGATTATGAGACTCACTGATCGTTGTTGTAATCTAGACCTTCGGTGATTGACGTTGTAAGATAATATAAAATAGGCATATATATTCACTTCTTGTTTATTTGATTTACCAAGAGATTCCTATTTTTATAAGGATGACATATGAGGTAATTTGGTAAATGAGAATGATTATATGATGTGCTATTATAAATTATTTATGGTCACTATGTTCAAGTGCGCTGGATTAATGACGTCCCTGAAATGAGTTCAGGAATGTACATTATGTTAAAACCCTATAGGTAGACGATTGTCTGACATAATGGTTATGGTTCTGAGTGGTACTAATTTCGGAAATGAATAAGAAGTTGATTGATTATTTTGTCAGTAATTTAATAAATCAACGGACGTTATATCTTAAACATATAGAGGTAAATTGATCAGTCAGATTAATATAATTAATAATAGAGGTTTGAATTTATTGATAACTAGAAGCTAAATGGGAAGAGCAATAATATTAATCTAGTGGGATGTTTTA